CACTGCCACCAACGGGGCTCAGAGCAGGACAAACGGATCCTGAGCATCTGCACAGCTCTCACCAACGTCCTCATTTCACACACAGTCACAGAATTCATCATTAATTTGGAAAATCCTTCCAACCCATCCAGGCCCAGTTGTGCCCCATGCCACCTTGTCCCCAGCCCAGAGCACCCAGTGCCACCTCCAGGAATTGCTGGGACACCTCCAGGGATGGGGATCCAACCCTCCCTGGGCACTTCCAATCCCTGCCCACCCTTTCCATGGGGAAATTCCTGCTGCTGTCCCCCCTGAGCCTGCCCTGGCCCAGCCTGAGGATCATCCTGTCCTACACCGCTCAGGATTCCGCGGTGACTGCGGACCCTGCCTGTCCCACGGATCAGGCCTTTCCTTGCCGATTAGGCTTCAAAGAACACACAGATCATCCCAATTCGGGAGGATTTTCACGTACTCCCCATGGTGGCGCGGCCCGGCCCGGCCCCGCCCGGCGCGAAGGCGGCGGGACCCAGCCCCCGGTGGGGCGGGCCGGGCCTGGGGCCGGGCCATGGCGAGCGGGCCGCGGGGTGAGCGCGGGGGCCGGGGGGCGACGGTCGGGGCTATGAGGACCGCGAGGGCCGTGAGGGCTATGCTGGGGCTGTGAGGGTTGGGGGGCTCTGTGGGCTGTGGCGGGGCTATGAGGGCTGTGAGGGCCGTGGGGGCTATGGGAGCTGTGCCGGGACTGTGGGGGCCGTGAGGGCTATGCTGGGGCTGTGGGGGCAGTGCCGGGCTCCCCGGCGGGCGGGCCGCGCTGAGGGGTCCCGCCGTGTCCCCGCCGTGTCCCCGCAGGCTCCTGGAGCGAGTGGCCCGTGGATCACTTCCTGCGCACCGGGAGCATCGCGGCCAGGGACGGCGCCGCCGTGCGCTGGTTCCACGCCGCCAACAGCCGGGCCCGGGCGGCGGAGGCCGCGCGGAGTGAGTGCGGCACAGGCCCCTTCCTCTTCCCCTTCCTTCTCCTCCTCTTCCTTTTCCTTTTCCTCCTTCCTCTTCCTCTTCCCCTTCCTCTTCCCCTTCCTCTTCCCCTCCCTCCTCCAGGATCCCCACGCTGTTAAATCCCTCCGGGGATGGATGGGGCCTCCACCCCTGCCCTGTGCAGCTGTGCCAGACCTGGACAGCCCATTCCAGGGAGGAATTTCCCCAAAATCCACCCTGAGCCTCCCCTGGCCCAGCCTGAGGCCGTTCCCTCTCCTCCTGTCCCTGTTCCCTGGGATAAGATCCCAAATCCTCCCTGGCTGTCCCCTCCTGTCAGGGCACTGTGCAGAGCCACAAGGGCCCTGGTGCACCGGCCTGGGCAGCAGTGAGCTGTGTGTAAATTTCTGTGAATATTTGACAAATACATACTTGTGTAAATTTATATATAATATCCTATATCTTCATTACCATCACTAGCTCTTTTCTTTGTATTTCAGTCTTCACTGTGTGTAGTGGATTCTCTGCAAAGCTGGTAGCACTGCCCAGATTCATTGTATAAAGCTGTTTTCAAGAGCCTGAGCACTCCCAAGACCCGTGTTTGCCTGTCTTGTGTGTGAGCTAACATTTTCCTGGTCAGTTTTGGCCATGAGTCAAGGGGAATGCTCAGGCTGCGCCAGTATTAAATCCTGTGCTCATCTTGCCTCTGTCAGGAGAAGATCTGAAATTTAATAAGAGCAGATTCACATGTTGGACGTCTGCTTTTCTGTTCCAGTGAAGATGAAAACCCACGTGGTTGCTTGCCCAAATGCACCCTCAGAGATCAAATTTCACGTGGTTGTAGGCTTGCAAAGAATTTAGTGACTGAAAACCCCCCAAAATTGCAGCTTTTATGTCCCAGACAGCAGTTCCCGTTGGAGCAAGGCTGCTGGGGCTGGTGCAGGCAGGCTTGGTGAGTGATAGTTTTCGTGAAGCACTGAAAGCTGAGGTGTAATTTGTCCACGCCCAGGTGATGTGCACATGGTGGAGGTGGATGTTCTCCTCCGGGGAGGGCATGGGGACCCCATCCTGGCTCACCCCCCGGACACTGACAGCGACATCACCCTGCAGGAGTGGCTGGCACAGATGGGCAGCACCGATAAAGGCATCAAGCTGGACTTTAAGAGGTATCTCAACAAAAAGGTGGTTAAATTGTTTGTGTTTTTACCTGTTACGGTTCTACAGGTGATCCTCAGCCAGGCTCCTCCTCATTGTGCAGTTGAGCATGATGCATTCAGAAGCATGGAAACATAGTCCACAATTCTCAAAGCATGGCAAGAGCCAAACCTTTAAAAGTGTTTTGAGCTACAAATAGTGGTTTTTTTCTATTCAGTGAATTAGGTATTAAGACCAGAGCTTTCCCTTCAGGAAGGTGCCTCTCTGGAAGGCTCCTTTCTCTGGCCTTACTAAATAAATGTTCAGAGGTTCATTCGCAATTTGAACCATCAGCTGTTTCATTTCTCGAATGGAAAACACACCTGACAACCCCTTGAGATTGCCTTGAAAGAGTTTGAAATGAGCTGTGATTTCCAGACATGCACCCCTCCAGCTCCTGACTCTGGCTTTGTCTGAATTTCCACTTGCTCAGTCTGTTTTGGCAGCAAGTTACAAAGACCTTCGTCAGTGCTTAAGTGCTCTATAGAAATGCAAAAAACCCCCACGAGATAGCTGTAAAATGTGATTTATGCCTGTGGTTCTGTGTAACACAGTCACGGTTTTCATGTGAAAGTTCATGAAAGTAAAACACGTGGGCAGGCTAAATCCTTTTATTGTCACAGGATCTGTGTGTGTCCTTCTGGGCAGAGAAGGGAAAAAAGAGCAGTAGGCATTTGTTTGGGCTTATTTCTTGTGAGTTTGGGTGGGATTTTCCTTCCATTTTAATTATTGTTTAAATTAATTTTGAACTACCTGCCTTTCATTTTTCAAACGGAGTTTACAGCCAAGTGCAGAGATTCAAAAAAGCTTTTAAAAGTACATTGCATTATATAAGTCTGATTGTATAAAAGCATTTAAGAATACATCACACAGTGCAGATAGAGTCAAATAAGTGATAACAGAATGTGATGTTCCTTTGGATAATATTTATTTGGATGCCATTGCTGAAGTTTTGGAGATTATTTCAATGGTGCTTTAAATATGTACTTTTTACATCTCTGATGTGTCATCCTGATTGACCACATAATTGCATTTCCTGCTGGCTTTGGCTACTGAAATTAATGTATTCTGCAAAAGGTCTTCAGTGTCCCACTTCAGAAATGCCAAAGTCATTTCACATGAAGTCAGCACTAAGTCTGAATTTTCTAAATGCTGCACAACGAACCCAGTGCCCTCTGGGACTTGTGGTTTTTTGGGCTTGGGCTTTTTGTTTTTGTTTTGCTTTGGGATTTTTCTTCTTCTTCTTCCCTTTTTTTTTTTTTTTTTATGTTGTTCCTGGGTTTTTTTTCCCCTGTGTTGCTGTTTTGCTTTGGGCTTTTTTCTCACTGCATTCCCTTGTCCTTTGCAGTACAGGGGAAGGCATTCCACTGACCCTGACAGTCCCATGCATATGTGAGGATACAAACTGTTCTGGGCCCAGACAGTGTGGGAAATGCTGAAGCCCACACAATAAAACAAGCCAGCACTGGCTTTTCTCCTAGAGAACTTGAGCTCATCTCCAGTGAGGGAATTCCTACCTCTGTGCAGCTTTCCCAACAGCACAAAAGGCAAAATACACAAAGTGAACTTTGCAGAGGAAACAAGACAAGCAGCTCAGGGGGCTGGTTGTTGGCTTTAGAACTAACCTAATTCCAGTACTCTGACCATAGTGATTTAAAATTCCTTGACGTTACACTGTGCATTAATTAATGTGCTGTGACAGAAACATTTTCTTGGTGTGTTCATGTGTTTTCCCCATTATTCTCCATCTCCTTTCCTTATACAGTACTTTGAAAGTTTTGGTAGGCTAGAGTTGAGAAAAGCTAGTTGTGTTTTTTCTTTTGGCTTGACAGGACAGTAGGAATATGTGACCACAGACTTTGTTAAATGCTCACAGGGAGTCTGCGCTGGTTCCTCAAGTGATGCCAGTTCATGATTAACCTTTTAATGATTAGCTGTCAGATGATCACTGGACAGGCAGGCTTCTGTGTGCTGCCACACTTTGGAGTTGTGGGGAACACCACAGCCAGGCACTAAATGTTCAAGTGGGTGCTTTTTCTCTCTTTTAGTTGCCTGAAATTGGGCTTTTTATTCTGCTAGTGCAGGTGCACCACCTTGCAGGGATGTGAAGGTAACTTTGAGCCCGGGTCTGACATGGTGATAAAATCTTTGCCACTCGGAGCATGGTTAAGGTGGGGAGAGATGACTTTCACTCTTGGGACTGAATTTACAGCATTAGTGGCTTTCAGGTCTGGTGAAACACAGGTTAGAGACTGCAGTGGCTTCCTGTGTTGAAGCCCTTCTGAGGTGTGAGGTGCAGAGCTGGCAAGGTCGGGGGTGCAGAGGTGAGGCCAGGAAGTGCTGGAGCAGGGGCTGGAGTCGGGGCTTTGCTGCTGCAGGGCAGGTGAGCGGCTGGCAGTGACACCCTGGGGACACTGCAGTGCTGTGACCTGCCCTGTGTCCCTGCACAGCCTGGCCGCCGTGGGACCCTCTCTGGAGCTGCTGGGGCAGCTGGAGCAGCCGCTGGCCGGGCCCGTGTGGCTGAACGGGGACATCCTGCCCGGGCCCCGCGGCAGCTGCGCGCCGCTGGACGCCCGCGCCTTCCTGGGCGCTGTCACCTGCTCCTGCCCCGGCGCCACCCTGTCCCTGGGCTGGACCACGGCCTGCCACCGAGGGCAAGGTAAGGGCAGGGCTCCATCCCCGGGCTGGGCGTTGTGTGAGTGGCAGGGATCGTGGAGCCCTGTCCTGGGCTGAGCTGTGTGCGCTGTCCAGCAGTCAGCCCAGTGCTGCGGTGGCAGCGCAGCTGGGTGAAAATGCCATCTTCTTCCTAAAACAAGCTCTTTGTACCTCAGCTTCTTCTCACCTGCTGAGCACCTCTGAGGGACAGGCTCCTTAGCCTCTGTTTCAGGGAGGGCTCTCCTGACTCAGTGACTGGAATCCTGGCGTGTGTCCTGAGGAAAAACAGATCAGCTGAAAATGTGAAAATTTATGTCTGCTTTTTTTGAGCACTGAAATCAAGTCGTGGGTCAGCCTTATCCCTAGCACTTCATTTCTCTTGGATACTTGAATTTTTGCAGTAAAGCTTCCAATTTCCATTATTATAGGGTCTTTTTCACAGGCTTCCTCTTTCAATTGTCATTATGAGCAGAGTCCCCTCCAATATTGTCTGGGGCCACCATGATAGGATTTTACACCATTCCCATTGCTACTTACTCATTAGCAAGGTTTAGTATTTTGTTATATGATCTGCTGCAGTTTTATTAAACTGTTCAGTGCTTTCTCCCAAATATTTTCAGAACAGGAAGAAATTGCTGGAAAATGCATTAGAAGTACTGGGTAACATGTGAAAGCACATTTCATTTTATCTCAATTCTAAATTTCAGTTTATGGAAATACAAAATAAGGTTCTACTGTAAAACTTAAGAAAACCAAAAATCATTTGAGTGATTTCGCCTGGAAGTTGCTGCTTTCCCAACAAAACTTTTTTTTTTTTTTTAATATTTAGTGCTTTTTTATTCTTTCTAGTCACTACATTCCATATGAGTAATTGAGAAAAAACTTCTTAACTGTTGTTATAGGATTTTCATAGCCTGTAGATAGAAAAGAACAGGTAAATGTAATTTGAAATAGCTCCAGTCTTTATAAAAATCTCAGCAAAGGCACTTTCAGTATTTCAGATTGCTTGATTTTAGCATTTTTAGGCACAGAATGTTTTTGTCTGTGTGTGCTTGATTTGTGTATAACTTCATTCCTAGTGGATTAATTTCCCTTTTTGTCCTAATTTTTTCTTCATGTTTTTATTTTTGAAGGGCCCCTGACAATGTTAAACTAGGCCATATTGAAGTCAGTGGCAGCAGAGTTTATTAGAGGAAAGGCAGAGATGCATTAAAAATGCCACATTCTGTAGCTGTATGTAAAGTAAGTAAATATACATGTGCAGAAGGGGAGATGAGGGTGTTCACAGTGAGGTGATTTTCCATGTTGATATTGCATTTGTTGCATTTTTCCTCGGGGCCATTTGTTGTCCAGAGCAGTTCGGTTGTGGAATTCCCTGGTGTTCAGGGACGTGCTGGTTTGGGGTGTCAGAGGGGACACAGGGCACGCCCGTGCTGTGCCTGGGGCTCCCCAGGGCTGTGTGTGTGAGGCTCTGAGTGTGTCCCCAGGCTACCAGTGGCCCATGGTGCAGGAGATGTCCCGGCTGTGCCAGCCCCTGTCCCAGCCCGTCACCTTCGCTGTCAGAGCCGCGCTGCTGCCCAGCTCCATCCCACAGCTCCAGTGGCTGCTCCAGCAGTCACACAGGTCAGTGCTGCTCCATCCGGCACCCCAAACCTCCAGGGGCTGCTCCATCCAGCCCCCCAGACCTGCAGGGGTTTGGATGGATTTCCATCCAGCACCCCTCAGGTCGGTGCCAGCCCTCGGCCCTCCCCTGTGCTGACCAACGCTCATCTCCTCATGTCAAACCCAGCAGGGCCCTGTGCCCGTGCTCATCCCAGCAGCACGGGAAATACTTCTTCTCTCAGGGCTTTATTTCCCTCAGCTCTCCAAAGTTTGAGTCCTCAGACACAAGTGGTCGCTATTAATTTCTGTAAAGTAGTTAAATTCCAGAATCTTCTTTTTCATTACCCACTGTAAGGACTTCTGAATGGTGCGTAGGTGTGTAATCCAGTTCTGCTGCAAACATTTCCTGAGATGAATATAGTTAAATAGACGAAATAGTTTGATGTTGCAATTGGGAATTCATCCAATCCAAAGACTTTGTACTGGATTCACTATTTATATTTCTTGTAGCAATGTCTCCTGAAAAATGTCAAAGATGATGGTTAGATTGGAAGTCAGGTGTTTCCCTCCAAGCTAATTAATTTTGCTGAGGCACTTGAAATGTATTCAGTGGTTTCCATACACCAACTTACATTTTCCTTTAAAAATCGTTCTTACAAACTCCTAACCATTTCATTATAAAAATTATTCACATGTAATAGAATGAGGATAAAACCAGCTTCCCACATATTGCCATTTACTCATCTTTTTCGCCTGGTCTGCCTGCCCAGAGTTTAATAAAATTCTTCCAGCCAAGGTCAAAGCCCAAGACAGAAAACTTAAGAGAGTGTCTGAAAAATTTCTAATTATTTAGAGACAACAGGATGGACAAATAAAGTGCTGATACTCTTTTTGAAGAATGAAGACTCAAGACGGAAATTAGAATTAAACTGTTTAAACTGAGAAATTAGTTTAAAAATATTACTGCACTAAGATTATGTCTTATGAATTGTGCCAGCCTCAAATAGCATTGGATACAAACATTGTTCCCACTGAAATATTAGGATTTTCTCTTTTACTTCAGCATAAAACTCAGGGGGGTTTCTCAGTGACATGATTAGAAGAGAGAAATTCCTGAGCCAGTTTTGCTTACATACAACTGAATTCTGATTTAATTTTTAAAATTAATACAGTTCTATTAAATAAAGGGTGAAAACTAAGTATATGTCATGTGGAGGATGTAGAATTAATGCTTTAGCTGAATAATGCTTTGGGGGATTTCGGTGTTTCTTGAGAAGTTCTGTGCAATTAATGAGACCTGGGTTAGGTGGCATCTTCAGAGAGATGTGACAAAGCACAGAGCACGACAATCACCTGCGTCTGGCGTTGCATCATATTTCCTGTTTTGAGGCTCAGCTTGTGACTATTGATTACTTTATCAAACCTTAAAGCTCAGCCTGGTAAATTTCTTCGCTGGGTATTTACCTGAGGTTTTCTGTTTAACTCCTTCCAAGGTTTGGCAGAGCAGTCACAGATAAATTGGTCTGGGGGTGCAGTTGTTTGTGTTTAATTACATTTCTAAAATGAGGATGCAGTAATCCTGAGTATTTTAGGAGCCTGTTAGTGCAATGTCTTTCTGGTTTACATGCTTTATCCTGACTTTCTCTTTGTTTTGTTTGTTTTCTGCCTTTTTCTGGACATAGATACAGCCTCACTGTTTGGGCAGGAAAGGAAGATGTGTATTCTGTAGAAGACTTGCTTCTCATCCGGGAGAACTTTGATAAAAGCAGGGTTTATTATGACATTTTTGAGCCACAAAACTCTGAATTCAAGAAAGCCATTGGAATAGAATGCTAAATGTGAAGCAGGCAGTGCCTGACCCTATAATGCTTTATGCTGTAAATCCCTTTAACTGTGAGGATTGTTTTGCCCAAGGAAATGCATTTTCCTTGCCAGGAGGACCATGGCTGTGGTTATTGGAGGAGTTGTTGTGTTTGAGGCCCCTCAAATAGAAATGTAGGGGATTGGCTTCTGCCGAACACCACGGACAATGCAGGGAAAACCACAGATTTCTCCCACAGTAACAGAGGACATTTTAACTTCTCAATTAAAGCTAATGCCCCGAGAAGCATTACTTTGGCAACTTCTTGCCCTCCTTTTCCCCTTCCTCTCACATGCTTCCTGTGGGAATTTTGTTAACTCAGATACTGTGCACAGTATTTAACATGCTGCTAGTACTAAAATAAATTACAATAATTTTTAGTTCTTACATGGCATTGGTACAGCCATGATAGAAAAGTTAGGTACATTTCTTAATCCTAAATCTTGCATTATGGTGATTTCACATTAAAATTCAAGACTCCCTTGCATTACCTACAATTCCTTTGAGAGATTTATCTAATAATTGTTTTCTGTTACTGAGGGGTAGAGCTTTCCTCTTTTTGGTCATCTACTAAGGTGTGCTTGGCTAAAATTAGTAAGTATTTTTCCCCATAAGGAAGGAAACTACCTGATTATACATGGGACAGCTAAAGTGAGTACTTGGTTTAATCTGCAGCACCAGGCAAAGGGTGAGGCGTGGCTGTGATTGCTACAGTGATTTTTGAGAAATTATTCATCTTTCAGTTGTGGTTTGTTTCAGGCCGTTGCATTCACTGATTTGCAGGGTTTCATCTCTCAGTGGTAGGCCTCTTTGGGAACCACAGGGACACATTTTTCCGTTATTTAGAAGTCTTCCCACTTAGCAGTTCCCACCTGAAGTAGTGGGATTTGTTAAAACTCATTAAACTATCAGGTTAAAAAGGTCAGCAACTGCCAGAAATATTTTAAAGGAATAAGTATATGTGAGCAATATCTGTGGGTGTCAGTAAGCAGGGAAAAATCAGATAAAATTAAAAGAAGACATCATCTGGATTACCAGGAAATGGCTATGTGGTGTATTTGATTATTCTGTATGGATAATCTATCTATCTATCTATCTATCTATCTATCTATCTATAAATTTCTGTATATAATTGTTACCTATGGATCTTTGCTAGTCCCCTGTGAAGTTGTTTATGTCAGACTAGTCTGACTTGCACATAAATAAATTAATTTGATTCTGTTTCTCTGTGTTTATTCAAATGCTCTCCTGAAATAAAGCGTGTTGCTGTGGGGCTGGCAGAGAGGCAGTGAAGGACAGATGAAGTCAGGTGTTTGTTCTGGTGGGAACAGCAGGTCTCTGTTGCTCCAGCTGTAGCTCTCTTTTATTTTGGTATTTTTTCTTCTACCTTCTTTCAGGGATCTGCTGCTTGCACTGTAAAGCCATTTGTAATTGACTGCAGATTCAAGCCTTGTATTTCTCTGAATTTGAAGGATATTAGTAAATAGATAAGATGGTACAGAAGAGAGTTGTCATTGTGTCCTGCCATGACAGGGGAGCATCCTAGTGGGAGCAGAGCACTGGATATTGTCCAAGGTTTCTGTTGTTTAAATGTGCTCTGGAATCCAAGGAAGTGTCCCCAAAGACACATTTCCCAAACGTGGGTCTCCATCTGATGTTCTCCCCTTCTGCACCTTCAGCAGTCACTCAAAGTGTTATGCTGAAATGAATAATGAAATAAAAACCAACACACGCAGTATTTTTTTTTCAATTCATACCCTCAAAGTAAAGCTGAAATGATGCTGAGGGTCTTTAGAACTCATTTAATAACGTGGTGATTACATGGCCCCATTGTTTAAGGAAAAAATACAGGAGTTAGAGTGTTGGGAATTTAAAATATTTGGATTAGTTTGTTTTAAAAAGCAATCTTCTGTGGGAGAATGGGAATTGTACCCTACATCGTATCCAAGAAACAGGGAGGCTCCTCCAAAGATTTCAGTGTTCCTCTGAAATGTTTTTATGAAAAATGTCTTTCAGTTTTCAGACTATTTATTTTAATAAGGGTAAAGGTACTAATGTAGTAAGAGGCATTATAGTAAGAGGAACTGTTTGGACGATTTTGTAGAGAAAGATTTATTGATCCATAACCTTGTATTAATTAGGGAACTGTTTCTAGCCAAAATGTTGAATTTCTTGACATTTTAATTGAAAGCCAAATGTGTTTTGAATTTATTGTTGTATTTTGATTTCTTGAATTCCCTTGAAATACTACTTTTAGAGATTTTTTGGCCTAATTCCCTTGATTGCCTTGGCTTTTCCAGCGATCCCTCCTGTCATTGTTGGTTCCACTGCCTGGTCGTGTTTTCTCCCCTTGCTGGAGAGAAGAACAGTCACAGGTTGGTAATCTCAGTGGGCATCTGCCCATGTTTGTAAAAGGTGCTGCCGTTCATGTGTTTTTAAAATACAGGTACAGGTCAGGTTTATATTTTGAAGTCGACACGTTTTTGAGGGAAAGCAGGCTGTAACTCACTCCATCTGTGAAACACACATAAAGTGCTCAAAATTGCTGATGCTTCTGGGGAAAAAATACTGGAATTTACTGCATTTCCTCAGCGTGCCTCTGTGTCTGGCTTTCAGGAACTTGGGAATAAATTGCCGTGTGCACATTTCTAGGAAGCATCTCTGGTGGTCAGTGTAAGATCTCAGCATAAGTTTTAAATAGCTGGACATAAAGTTTGGGACAAAACCTCTGGATTAACATGAGATCCACGGCTGCCTGCGTCATCAGCCCAGGAAATGCCTGGCTCAGGTAACAGGTGCTGCTGAGAAACGGGGATTTTGCATATTTGTACAGATATATATATCTATATAGATAGATACGTGTGTGAGTGTGTGTTGGGGGGCTGTTTACAGAAGAGGCCAACTTGTGTGCAGGAGTAAAAGCCCTGTCGTCTTTCCAGGAGGATGAACAGCTGGGTCTTTCATCAGAATATGTAGTGATGAGAATTGGAATTTTATCCCTTTGACTCTGGAAAACGCCCCCTGAGTTTCTGAAGGTGTTTCCTTAAGAAACCTGATCTTCTTGAAGTTAGTGCAGTGCCAGTAATACTTTACAGTGAAAATGTAAAAATCTGTATTTATAAATCCTTTGCTTTAGTTGGAAAAGTAATCAGTTCTGCAGTGTATCACATGCAGAGGGATAAAGGTCCTACATGGGATTGATGAGGGAAAAAAGGAAATCTAGTGCCTACGTAGTTTACAGTTTTTTTCTTGTACAGCTGCGTCAAGTTATGGCAATATTCTTTTGGAAGTGCTGTGTAATTGTAAAAGACAAAGATCAAAACAAAGCAATTACTCCTTAAAAGCAAAACCAAATTAAATGTGCAGGGAAAGACATTTTGAAGCCTGTATTTTGAGCATTGCACCTTAAACGCAACCTTGAAAACTGCTACTTTACGACGTTTTTTTGTGGTGACTTGCTGTTTTTAAATCTCTTAAACCGAAATAATGGGAGTTCTTAAGTAATCAGTGCTTCTTGTGAAGCCACCACTGTTTGTTTTGAAGTTACTGTGATTGTGTGGCTTCACAGCACATTGCAGAGAGGACGAAGACTCGAAGTGAAAACGCGAATTGATTTTCCCCTCTGCAGACCAAGCAGGTGAGGTTGGAAGCCCTTGGTGTGACCGTGTGGCCGCGGGGCTCGGGGCCACCGGCGGCTGTGGGACAGCAGCCCTGAGCTGCTGCAGCCTCGAGCCCGCGGTGCCCCCTGAGCCGGGAGCCGGCGGGGACACCTGAGCTTGTTTAGAGCCAGGTTTAACAGCGGCAGCTCGGGTCGGGCTGACCGTGCTGTGCCGAAGGAGCAGGGGGCTGGCTGGAAATGTCATGGATTAAGGCTCCAGAGAGAACACAAGTGCATCTCTGCTCCACAAGTGGAGCCACAGGAAGCTTCCGGCAGCTGGAAAGAGCCTCTCTCACACCACACTTCGGACAAATTTAGCTGTATTGCATTAAATCGATGTAACTGTTCCCATTTTCTTGTACGGAGGCAGCCTGAGAAACACTTCTGAGTGAGTACCTTTTGCAATGACTCATCATTTCCTGAGTAGTGAATAAAAGCATGTGCTTATTTCCATGTTCCCTCTGAGGGGCAAAAAATATCTTTTATTTATTCAGCGTAACAACAACAAGAGAACAAAGCTTTTTCCTTTGAAGGTCACTTGTAACAGTAACACAAGCAATAATATGAACACTTCACACTACTTTGCATCACAATCACAAAATACTGGTAACACTACTGAAAAACTTCCCTTTTCAAGACACTTTGCGACTTCCCTCCACTGTCTGAACTTTTTGTAGAAAAATTATGGTTTCATTTAAGGGAGCCACAGTCCCAGATACATAATTTTTAAATCAGAACAGCATAAATTGGGCTCTATACCCTCAGCAAAGATACCAGCTAGAATACCTGGCCATAGTCAATGTCTTCTAAAAAAGAATTTGTGTTTTTTTAAAGATCCGTTTTCCCCTTCAAATATTTAACTTGACTATGAGATGAACAGATGAGAACTTGCCATTTCCTTTGATACTATCATGAAAGCATTTTGGAAAGTGTATTCTGTGTAGGGACTAATTTGTATTCAATTAATACTGACATATGTTGTTCCACATAATTTCTGTATCATAAAAACACATCCACATAATCCTTTTTTTTTTACCTGGTGTACACAGGGGCTGATCCAGGAAAATCTCCTGAAGGAAAGGGCAGAACCTGAATGGAAACAAATACTCCCAAAAAGTTATTTACAGAGAGTATGTGTGTAGAATCCCCTTTAGATGGTTTAATGTTTAGAATCCCCATTAAATTGTTTTATGGTGATGATCCCCATCAAATATTTGTCTGTTTGTGATCCCCTTCAAATTGTTTTATGTCCCCAATCCTCCTTAAATTGGTTTATATTTAAGATCCCCGTAGCACTGTTTTATGGTTAAGATCCCCGTAAATTGTCTCCTACTAAGTGCAAAGCTAAATAACATTACAGGCTTTTGTTAGGCAATGTCAGATTTGGTGGACTTTGACTGAAGCTGCAACAAGACAGGTAGTACCCACTGAATATTTTCCGGAAAAAAATACCTAAATTCAGTATACTGAAATTCACATTACACAGACACAATTTCAATACAACTAATTGCTGTAAATTACAACCAAACAGAACACAATCACTTTTCCTCAAAATTTAGAAGATGAGATCTAAATGCTAAATGCAACACCAGAAATCCAGCGTCTGTGGGATGCACACAACCACAAAGGAGATACTTGGAATCACAAGACACTAAAGGAGAGGAAAGAAAGGTTTTTAGATAGAGATTCTTAAAAACAAGCAGTAGCTTGAAGGCTGCAGAGGACCGCTTTCCACTTGTGGGAAATTCAGTCCTCTGTTTCAAATTAGGCAAAAGGGAGGTTTCCATCTCCCAGGTGAGTGCTGTGATTAGACCCACCGAATCAGAATGGTTTGGGTTGGAAACCATCTGAAATAAATCCTGTCTCATCCGAGGCCCCTGCCATGGGCAGGGACACCTTCCACTAGACCAGGTGGCTCCAAGTGTCCAGCCTGGCTGGAAACACTCCCAGGGATCCAGGGGCAGACACAGCTTCTCTGGGAAAACTGTGCCGGTGTCCCAGTTCCCTTAGGCTGTTGTGTTTTATAGGTCTGTGTGAGCAGGGCAGAGCCCTCCCCTGCTCCTCAGTGTGTGCGTGTGTGTGAAGTGCCCCTGCTGGTGAAGACAATCCGGGCGTGTCCCGGTGTCCGTACCCTGCTGAAAGGGCTCTGACCGGGGGCACATTGCTCCAGCCTGACCTGGAGGTCTCATTCTGGGGTTCTCCCGACCTGCAGGGAGCGGCGGAGCCCGTTTCAGCGCAGGCTCTGCCGCCCGCAGCCTTGCTGTTCTGCAGGGAGCGGGTTCCAGAGGCTGCAGGGAGCAGCCCGCGGGGCGCAGTGCCTGGGGCCAGCGGGAGCCGGGCTGGCGTGCGGCACCCGCGGGGCTCGGCGCTCGCCCGGCCGTGCGCTGCGCTGGAGCGCGGCCGCGCCGCCGCCGGCAGTGCCAGCCGTGGGTGTGAGGCACGCTCCCAGCCCGCAGCTGCGGTTCCGTGGGCAGCACGGCTCTGCAGCACGAGTGCCACCAGCTCCGACGTGTCTGCTCGCTCGCCGCGAGGCTGCTGAGGCCAGGAGACACCGCCGGTGGGCACCTGCTGCCGCCACCCCACGGCACGCTGATGTCGCTGGGGTTCTGCATATATACAACCTGGACACAGGCAGTCTGCTGTCCAGCGTCACAGTCAAATGCTTCGTGTTCCCAAATGCCGTGTGCACCACCTCTCTGGGTGCTGAAAGGGCGTGCGTTCGGGGAAATCTAGGCGGGTGGTATTTACAACCTACAATGAGAACTGCAATGCTTATGGACCCTTGTGGGTTCAGTCTGCTACAGGCAAGTTGAAAACTTTACAAAACCAGCAAAATAAACCCTCCTTAGCTTGCAGAAGACAGCCTCACTGGGTAAGTATGTCTTCTCATTTAGTTTCTGAGCTATTCCACTCATCCTGAGGCACACATTACTTTACAGCACAGACCTGCTCTATTTTGTGATAGGTACCATAACAGTCAAGGACTGCAGTGAATATTTACAAATATCCCCTTTGCTCTCCTGTTAAAAAAGCAGTAACTGCTGAATCTGCTTAGACTGTTATCTGCTCATACGGCCTCCTCCGCATCAGATTGGTGTCTTTGGTCCCCTTAGGGAAAGCAGGTCCTGGTGGTGCTAAGTGAGTTTGTCCGTAAGAAATCATTCCAGAAACTGTGTTTATGACAGTGAGCTCCTGACCTGGGGGCCGGGGGTTCAGTGGTGGCAGGAAACCTGGCCTAGCCTGATCCAACGCTAAGGCTCCTGAGCCTGCTCCCTCCACAGGAGTCCGGCTTCTGCCTCTTGGAGAAACAGGAGACAGCTCCAGAGCTCTTCTGGGACTTGGTAACAAAGTCTGGTATGTAGGAAGAATCTCTTTATTTGCTTTAGGTGACTTACTGCCTTTTGCATCAGCAGCAGGAATCAGACTGTTAGCTGACTGAGAACTGGACATGCTGTAATTTGCTTCTCCACTCCCTTTCTTGATAATACTGCCAAAGCTGGAAAGTAAGCTGATTTGTCCCAAACTGGCATCCATGCCCATGGGAATCTCACTGGGGTTGTGTTTCTCTTCAACGAAAGGAGTCTGATAGTTTATTGCATCACGCAATGCCTTCCTTGACAAGGTTTGATCAGAGGTTTTCAGTACCTGAGCTGAGTCCTTCCTGTCTCTACTGTCGTGACTGCTGGCGACACACTTGCACAAGTCAAGGCCACTGGTTTTACAAGAGAGCTCTTCTATGGGACTGGCACCCTGAAGTTCTTGAGGAGAAGCCATTTTCCTCTGCTGAAACACTGGTGGACAGCACTTCAGCCACGGGTCACACTGCAGCACCTGCGTCAGCTTGAACCGTGCTGGTGTGGAGCTGGGTTTGGTCATCAGTGGCACTCTTTCAGAGGAGCTGTCCCCCTGTTGTCCCCCATACAGCTCTTTAAAGCTGAATGGGTCTTCTGGGCCCTCGTCTGACTCTATTTCTGACTGGCAGGTGCAATCAGCTGGGGAAATGCACTCCTCGAGGTCTGGAGGAGGCACGTTCAGGTACTGCTTTGTTTTCTGCCTCCCTGAGGCGGACTTGTCCGTGGTGATGATGATCACTTCCTTGCCCCGTGCCTTGCAGGCCTTGAGCAGCACCTCCAGGGTGTCCCTGTCTGCGGCGTTTATGGCATACACCAGGGCAGAGCAGTTGGAGTGGTCTGGCAGGCTGGGGTCAGCCCCGCTCATCAGCAGCAGGGACACCACCTCAGGGCCCGCCTTCTCCAGGCAGGCGTGCATCAGCGCGGTCTTGCCGGACTTGTCCTGGATGTTGGGGTCAGCCTTGTTGTCCAGCAGGTATTTCACCATCCTGGCCTTGCTGGCGCTCTGCAGGTCGGCGTGTTTGGTCATGCAGGCGATCATCAGCGGGGTCTCCCCGCGGCTGTTGCTCTCGTTGACGTAGGCGCCGCCGTCGATGAGCAGCCGGGTGAGCCGCAGGCGCCGCTGGTACACGGCTTTGATCAGGGAGTAGCCCTCGGGCGGCACGTCCACCCCCTCCATCCTCCTGCTCTGCCCACCTGCCACGCCCGCCTGCCCCGGGAACCACACGGGTGCCCACAGAAAGAGAAGGAACTGGGGGGGAAAGAGGATTTTACTGTGCTAATTGCTCCTGTAAACACCCTCGAACTTTGTGGAAAAAACTATGACGGGAAGAAAAGAAGAAATGTTTCCCCACCCTTTAGACTCACAGAAAATATATTAAACACTTAAAAAAATACTTCAGTAAAACATTTATGTAAGATTAGAGCATGACTTTCACCTTCTTACTTTCTGACTGTCCTTTGCAGTCCTCTGCCTGAGCAGACAGTACCAGTTCTACAACAGAAGAAACATCTGACAGCATTAAAGAGAATCAGGAGGTTTCACACAAAAAGTTAAGAGCATAATTTTGTTATTTTGTGGCACAAATAACAAAAGCTCTCATACGAATGTATACCTACAGACATGCAACTAAAACTTCCATGTCTTGTATGTGCTTGCTTACCTGTGTGTAGGGAAAACCTTTAGAGAAAAAACAAAACAAAACAGTCTTTAATAATTGGCAGAGCAATATTTCAATACAAGATTAGATATGCATTAAATCATTACATTCATTTATTTACAATATATTTCTAGAGAAATAAAAGTATTTAACTAGTTCAGCTGTAAAATAAATTAATTAATAATTTTTATTCATCACTGAAAACACTAGTACAGTTCTGGTGATTAACTCCAAAACAGTAATTTAATTCCATTTTACTGTGAATACCATAATCTAAGGATGATCTCGATATACTTTGTTTCAAAAGTCCAACAAGCAAAAAAAATGGGAGTCAGATTTCCTCCCTGGAGGTCTAGGGAGGAAATCTGACTTTCACTGGTGGCTTGGTTTTTTTCACACCTCTGTCTTGATAAAACATTTGTAAAAGGTAATTGCATCAAAATTACTTTAAGGATTCACTCCATTATACTGAAAGTTCAGGACTCAGTACTGTCTATCTCAACTTTCACTGAAGTGCAAATCATTGTTATGATTTTATGCCTACTTTTGACAAGTAATGTTTTCAAGATTATTGTAAAGTCTTTTACAAAAGTATCTGACCAATCTGTGCATTTAGGTTTACAGAAGGAAACTTCAGAGAAAGATAACACACATGCTGGAATGTTGATAGTGTTCTCCCCTGGTTTTAACCTACCTGGAAGTTATTGGTGACTTTACCTTTCTCTCCTATTTATCTAAAGCTCCTCTGATACTTAACTGCTCACTTTACTTAAGCAATGGCATATAACTCCTGCTACATAAACCTTTTCATCTGTAGAAATACCTTTTATGGGCAAAAGAACATTAAATATTAAACAGGCATGGAAAGAGAATAATGCTACCTGAAGTGGTGCAGCAGGTCAGGGCTGAAGGTGAGGCTGCTCCTCTGACATCTCACCTAACCCCTCCTGTTGCTTAAATTTGCGTTTCCACCGACTTCAGCAGGACTGCTGATCTGAGCAGAGTGGAGGGCTGACCTAAGACAATGGTAGAAGTTTGAAAGTTAGGAGTAAATGGTGTTGGCAGGTATCAACTTGTCTGGAGAAAGCCTGAGATGTTTCTCTGCAGAGAAAAGTGAGGAAAAGATGCATGAAATGGGGAAGAAAAACCCACCAATAGTTCAGAATCAGATGCTGCACAATCAAAAGAATGTGTTAGAGATTGACAACTGGAACAGTATCATGCAGAACACACTCCCGGGTGCTGGATGATAGCCACAACTTCATCTGTTCATCATATCACACCTGGACGGGGTGCAGCCTGCTCCAAAAACCCCACAGCTGGCTTGTTTGAAGGGAAAGACCACAGGTCAGGCAGATTCGCCACAACAGTAAATTATTGGATAACTCATCGCAGATGGGTGCTGAACAGATGGGCATCATACAGCATTCCTAAATGTAATTACCTGATATGTCACAAGTACTCCACGAGTTCCTAAACTATCGGGACTGACACAGTTGCCTCTCACCTTTGAAGGTAAACTTTGAAGGCAGCTTCAAGCTTTAAAGCAGTTTGAGGAATGAGGAACTTATGGAACTCAGTGTGTGGCACTGAATCACAGACTGGTCTGTCAGATCACCCACAAATTCCTCTTATGCTTGTACAAATAATACAGCTCCACTGTGCTTTCTGTCTCGAAAGTGCTTAGTTTTGTTTTCAAGCAATAATATTGTCCTGGAAAGTACTCTGAGACAAAACAGCACCAGGCACCTCATAGTATGAAAACCTAGTTTTCAATCTAACAGTCTAATCACAGCAGTGAGGGAGAAAGAGCCCCTCGATGTTATAACAAATAAACACAGGCGACAGTGTCATGAATGCATGATACGAATGAAGGAGTTCTTGCAAAGTATTCCTCACCTATTTGATGTGAGAGCCAGATTCCCTGCCCTCCGTGCCTCAGCACCCTCAGTTAAACGAGCTCTCACAGTTGTGTTTAGAGACTCTAGAGTCATTCCAGTAAAATTGTCATTGATTCTCATCTCGGAAAAAAGACGTGCTTTCACACTAAAAGAGCATAAGCATTTAGGTATTTTTATGATCCTGCATATACACATTAAACCTGGCAAATTCAGTCCGAGTAGTAAAAACTTGTTTTCCTAGTTCAAATTTACCACATACGAGCTACTTTTGATTTAAAATAATTACCATTCCAACGCTGCCAAAACTCCACCACCACCCCGAAGTTTCCACCACAACTTGCAACCCGACGGCTCTAAAGGGCTGGGGAAAAGCGAGGACCGCAAACTTCTCCGCGGCGAAGTGACAGCGCAGACGGTATCAGAAGAGCAGCAGGAGCACTGGATAAAGGCTGCGAGAATTAGTTTGAATACTTTACCCGCGCGCTGTGGCTGTCGGCGGCAGCGCCGCTCGCTCGCTCTGCTCCCGGGACGGAGCCGCCGCTCCTGGCGCTCCCGGCGGCGCCGAGCGACACCGGGACACTCGGCAACGCCGGGACACCGAGCGCCGCCCCCGGCACCGCCCTCGGGCTCGGCACAGCCGCGGCCCCGACAGCCGCCACCCCCGAGCCCGGCCCCTCACGACCGAGCCCCCCGCCCCGCTCCGCTCCCGCCATCCCGCCATGCCGGCCCGGCCCCGCGGCCCCTCACAGCCCGGCACCCCGAAACACCCCGAAACACCCCGAAAAGCCCCGAAATACACCGAAACACCCCGAAAAGCCCCGAAACACACCGAAACACCCCGATACACCCCGAAAAACCCCGAAATACACCGAAACACCCCTAAACACCCCGAAATACACCGAAACACCCCGAAATACACCGAAACACCCCGAAATACACCGAAACACCCCGAAAAACACCGAAACACACCGAAACACCCCGAAATATCCCTCACAGCCCTGACACCCCAAAATACCCCAAATACCCCTCACAGCCCCCTCACACCCTGGTGTGTCCCCTCACACCCCAACACCCCTGACACCCCACAGCCCTCTTACACCCCGGTGTCCCCAAACACCCCTCACACCCCCAACACCCCACAGGTGCCCACTCTGCTCCATCTCTCTCACCCCCTCACACCCCAGATATCCCTCAGACCCCTCACACCCTTCGCCCTGCTCGTACCCCTCAGACCTCGCACCCCGCTGACATCCCACAGCAGCCTGCTCTTACCCTGCTGTCACCCTCCTGCTCCCACACCGCCTGGCCGCTCTCAGCCACAGCCCCAGCCCGCAGCGGCTCCGCTGGGCTGCCGGTGCTCCGGACAGGGCAGCCCCGAGGCTGCTCTCGGTGATCTCCGCCGGGCACAGACACAACCCAGCCAGGACCTTCCTCAGTACCACACTGCCTCCAGCCACCCGGGCAAGGACTGATCGCGGCCGGGAGGAAGCTGAGCCCAAGGAGATGCTTCCCTCAGCCGTGACCAAGATAGACTTTGCAGTAATTCCTGGTTAGTATGGTCAAAGACACTTCTTGGTTTCCATGCAAGCTTAGGACACCTTCACAAAACCGCAGTCTGGTTGAGGCTGGAGGGGATCTCGGGACGTCATCCAGTCCATGCCTCCTGATCCCCCAGGAACGTCTAGAACAGCCCTCACCACTTTTTTAATCTCTCCAAGGGTAGAGACTCCACAGCCTTCCTGTGCCAGTGCCTGGTCACCCTCCCAGTGAGAAGGGCTGGAGAGGGAAAGCTTTAATTCGGTTTGTTGGCTCTTTCCCTGTCACCGGGTGCTGCTGGGAAGGAGCAGCTCTGCCTGGGTTGCGTTCTCCTCGCAGGTGCTGGTGCGCAGCACTGAGACCCTTCTGGGCATTCCCTCTTCCAGGCCAGCCAGGAGCAGCTGGCTGAGCCCCTGCACTTGTGACAGAGGTGCTGTGGGGATCTCCCGGCAGACAGTGCCACAGGCTCGGCGGAATCCAGGTGGGCATTGTGCACGGCCTCCGCCCGGGCCGCTCCGTTCACGGCACGGCTTCCCTTTGGAGCAGCCAGCCTGACACTTCCATCACCGACTGTGCTCTGCTCTTCCTCAGCGGCTGTGGTGGGGTGCTCTCACACACGTCTGTGAGCCGCAGGACATCCTGGCGGTGCCCAGAGGCTCCCAGGGCATTTCCTCGGAGCTCGCAGACGCTGCTCACACGGCGGCTGTGTGAGACCCTGCACTCAGCCCCTGGCTGCCTCACCCAGGCTGTGTCCGCACTCAGGAACGGTGCCCAGGTGAGTGCAGCACACCAGCGGGGAGGTGAGGGTAACCTGGCAGCCACACAGCCACCACGGCCCGACAATGAGCAGCGAGTCACAGCACAGCATCCAGCTGCACAGGACTGATTTCGGCATCACAGCACAGAGAAGGTTCCAGGAGCAATGTGAAGGGGATTTGTGCCTTGCTATTTTTTAAAAGTGCACGTCAGGATCAATGAGAAGCCGTCATGACTAAGAGCTGGATAAATGGTATGAATAAGCCACTAAGACAAACAACACACCAAGGGCAGGTTCCTCAGTTACTCTCTAACCTTCTCTTTCCAAAAACCAAGTTGGGAGACTGTCCACAGATGTTTTGGGGCTTTTTTGCCTGTGGCAAGATTCAAATTATCTTTGTTTTCGTTTCCTCTCTACCTCATCCACACTCTTAATACTCCTTGCCATGCAGCCTCAGAAAGGCATGTGTACTGAGCACCCACTCTTGAGGAGTTTACTGCTCTTCACAATCCTGTTGTTGGGTTAATTCTGTGAGATGGAGAGGCAGTGTACACTTGTGTATATACCAGCGCTCTTGCTGCTGAAATACCACTTCTGTAGTTCTTGCAGCTCTAAATGTCCTCTTTCTTATCCCTCCTTCCATCCTTGCCTGCATTGTGCTGTTGAGCTTGATAGCCAACATGAATCATTGACCAAAAAAAACCCCCAAAAAATCAGTGTATCAAACCAGCTCTTGGAAGAACACTTTTATGAAGATAATTAGATCACCATGGATACCCTTGGTTGGATAGAAAAACAACTATTGGTATCAAGAAGTTCCTGCTAAAAGTGAAGGAGAGTGGAAAGCCAGAGCAGGGAACACATCCATGCAGCACAAATTTTATTATAAAACACAGAAGATGCTTGCATATGCACATGGCATATTTGTTTATCACACTTCTTGATATCCCTCTCCTGTATCTCAATGACAGTTGGGCTACCCGGATATGTACCAGGAAAAAGTTTCATGATCACAGAATTCTAATTTTAATTGACTAAAAATGTTTGTCACAAATGAATGTTTTAAGTTGCTCAAAGCATCACTAGAAAAGGTATTGCCAGATCAGGTTTGATATAAAAGCGAAAGTGCAACGAAGTTCACTGGCATGCTTCACTCTACTACTCACTACACAGTTAAAGCACACAGACCAAAATCTACAATCAATCAATGTAAAATTAAAATCATATGAAAGTGATCTATGCGGAGGCTGAGCACAGGACAAAGAGTAAGAATAGGAAAGGATGAGGACACAAGGAATAAGGGAGCCCCTGCCACTGAATTACAGGGTTCAGAGTGGATACCCCTGCAAAACCAAGCCTTGGACTCGACCAAAGCTTTAGGCCTAAAGATTCCAACAGCACTTAGGCACAATGGCACTGAGTTGACAGCCTAATTTAAAGGATTTAACAGAAGACTGTAGAATTGACTAGAAGCATGACAGTAACTCATAGGGCTGACTTCAGGTGAGTACAGTCCCTGTACAGTTCAGCCCTGCGGGAACACCCCCGAGCTCAGGGAAGGTCTCACTTAGGACCAAGGTTTGTAGGGTCACAGCGTTACTCACGGTAACATTCCGTCCGGATTGTTACTCTGCGTGGCAACTGTCTTTGAATGTTCAATAACGAAAACGTGCCCACCTGGACTTGCTCCGCAGGCAGCACCAGATCCTGGGAGCAGACAGCGTCTCTGGTAGCTCAGGAGGAGCTCAGCCCAGGTGCTGCTCGTTCAAGACCTGATGAGCATTTCTGAGGTCACAGTAGTGGCCCCAGGTGGGTGACTCCTGATAAACTGTGCCCTCATATGGGCAGGCAGGAAAATGACGTATTTTCTTTTCTGGATGCCAGTTGTCAGCAAGCTGTGGAAGCCCAGCACTGGTCTGCAGGCCTGGAGCCCGGGAGCCCTATTTTGGGAAGGTGGTCTCAGCCCTGGCTTTGGCACCTGGCAGTCCAGGCACACCTGGGGGCCTGTGGCGTCCAAGTGCTATCAGCCAGATGCCCCTGTGTCCCTGGAAATCAGCTCAGTCAGCTGCTCCACTTTGTTCACAGGAAAATAAAAGAAAGAAAGGAATGGAAATAGTTGAATTTGATCTAACATCCCCACCCCATGGCCTAGTTTTGGATTTTACTTCCCATGAGGAATAGTTGACACTACCTTGTGTGCTTGGTACTGGCCAGCCTTAGTCTACACCAGCAAGAACTCATTCAAGGAAAGGAGCCATGATTGCTTACATATGTAATTACTTATGTATTAATGCATTGCCGTGTAAATTGTTGACCATGATATAATGTGACATAAGTCATTCTAGTAATTGAGTTACTTTTAGGTAACTTTTCAGTTACTATTAGGGCATAGAATTCGTTTCAAATGGTGAATGATTGGAAAAATATAGAAGCCTAATTAACTTGGTTTAGTTGAGATAACTGAAAAAAAGCCCCAAACCCGGAAACTATTTTTATCATCTACTAATTTGGTACCTTAAATACATTCTAAACCATTAAGTACAGAGCTAGATGTTTACTGTCCTGGAACTGTTTGCTGAGAGGAATGCACTCAAGTTGTAAACAACAGTATTCTTAAAAATATATCTCTTAAATGTAGCAGGCACATCTGCTTGCTTGTTCAAAATCTTGAAAGGGGATTATGGTAGTGATGTAGAGACATCAGTTGAGAGGTCTAAGAGAGAAGTGGAGTGCTATGTTTTTGTGCTTCAAAAATAATGACCAAAACCAAACAGAAGGAATTAGGAGTCTATGAAGTGTCTCACAAAAACCCCATGCGTGCAGTGTAAAACCTAGAGAAGTACCTTGTTATGTTATTGGTTTGTTTACCAGGCAATTTGGAGGCACACGTGGCACTGCACCGTCCCTGCCAGCAGGCTCTGGGGCCCGTCAGGCTTTGGTGTGACCCTCTGCCTCCAGTCAGATCATGCCAGGGCCCAGGTATCTCCTGCTTCCCATCACGCATGTTTTGATTAGCTATCCATGACACGGAGCTTTCTGCCTGGATAAATAATCTCCCTGAAGTGTTTGGTGGTTTATTGCCAAGTGCTTCGATTACAAAACCGAGTGTGTGTGGGAACTGCACTTGTGACACTTGCAGGAATAATTGTGGCTGGTGACGGAAGCAGGGCTCCCTCTAACAGTTTTAGAGAACATATTGCAATAAATGTCTTGTTCCATGGGCACAAGCCTTTGCGAGGCTGCACAATTCAAGTGCTGCCTTCCCGGGTGCTATAAATCAGCAGGCTCAAGGGATAACTCTCTTTTGCCAGTTCCCACAGCCTGTGAACATCTTAGAGCTGAATCTTTCTCATACATACCTTTATAAATTGTTGTTTAGATTGCAGCAGAACACTGGCTGTACTCTTATGTCCAGAGCATTTTCTAAAAGAATCTGAATTACATACTAGGAAATAATAGAGTGAACTGTGCAGAAATAATGTGAAACTGGTCTGCAACAAAAAGATTTTACATGATTCCATTGGAAAGACAACCATAATTTCATGAGAGACACTAAGAGTCAACACTAAAGAAATGCATTTTGACTGGCTGAAATGGCAATATGCACAAAAATACTCAGTGAGGAAGGACTCCTGTCAAATGGGTTCCCTTCCACTGTGATAAACAACTGAACAGGCATGAGAAAAAAAAGATTTAAAATTGATTAGAAAAATATAAGTCTTTCTAAACTTAGATATGTTACATTAATGACCTTTTCCACCTAGGACTGCTGATGGGACCAGATCCAAATTTTAATCTTTTCGAACAAAACCTAACAAGAGGAGGTATAGTGATTAAAGGTACCTTCTTGCTCTCATGAAAATGAAGCTCTTTTTCAAGCTGTTTTCACTAGAAATCATTTCCAGGAGCTTTTTTGGCTGTGTTCAATGAGCTACTGATACACAACTAAAAAGACTAAACGCTTCTAAAGTGCTCCTTAGTACAACTGAACAAGCTTTAGTGCAATTCAGTGGCCCAATCCATTTTAAGCTATTGAGGTGAAACAGGGATCTCCAGTGAAGGGCTGGTAATCCATCCACTGGGACAACTGTCCAAAACCAATGTGAGTGTTCCAGCAGGGTTTTGTGTGGAAAACTGCATTTGGAGGAAGGGTGAATATCAAAGATGCTCTGTTTTCATGCAAGTGTCCATCTCAATTAAATCAATGATGTAATTTATAAACAATTTTATGGCTTCTGAATAATGGCTTGCTTACTGAAAAAGACTCTGCTTGGTATTAGGAACTTGTTAAACTGAACCGCTCAGGGAAAGAAAAGACATTGATTAAGGGCTCTGTAGGTAATGGTGTATCATTCATTTCCTATCCTCCCAAGTTCTGTTTATTCTCACTTTGTTTTTACTTTTCCCCCATATTTTTTTTTTTTCTTCAGAGCAGATCACTTAACAAAATACTGATTTTCATACCTGCAGCTTTGCTTACTTAGGCAAATACATGGCCCAATTTCAAGAAAAACACTTCACCACCACTTAATCAGAAATAAGCACATACTTAAGAGACATCTATTGGAAATACCTCTTCTGTTGATCAGCCCAATTCTCTGAATTTCTGTAAATTTTCAATCCAATGGGACAGCTGAAGAGATAAGGGACAGAATGGCGAGGACCACAGCTCAGGGATTGAAGATGATATACAAATGCTGTAGCTAAACCATTAAATGACAAAAAGATCAAAACAATATGTATGAGAAAAGACAATCTACTTTAACCCGCCCAATTTAATTGGAGATGAACAGGCAACTTTTGCAATGTAAGCTCTTGCCCAAGACACTTGAAAAAAAGTCCTGAAAATGTAATCAGAATAGAACTCTGCTTGAGAGCTCATCTATTCTTTTTCCAACCATGTTAATTAATCTAACAAAAGGCTTCTTGTATGAATTTTGCTTTGATGTTGGAGAAAGGAGACAGAACGATCTGCAGAGGGTAGAATGGCCCAGGATCACCCCAGAGCCAGCTGAAAACAAGTGAGGACAGGGAAAAGAGCAGGTTTCCCACATGCAGAAGCTGTGCACCGAGGGAAGCAGGAGAGCACTGGGCCGGGCACAGCCATAACCCCTGGAGGCTCTGGAGGCTCCGGGATGGGACTCTGGCTCCCGGGGGTGGAGCAGGCACCTCCGGACAGCAGCTCCAGCATTCCTCTGGAGCTGACAACGGCAGTCACACAGCACCCAAATCCTGAGAATCCCTCACTAACTACATTCTTTGTCACAGCATCTTAAAGGTGCTAAACCCCACAGCACTCTTAAACTCCTTTCTTAGTAATTATAGCTACAGGGCAAACTAACACGATAAACCATGTATCCTTCTAAGAAACATCAATTTCCTCTTCTCAGCTCTTTCTCCTCTTCCACTCTTCTGTTTCAGGACCTGGCTCTTTCAGCCTTACCCTAACTTGGTTGGCTTCATTCCTGCAGCCCTCCAGGGCAAGCAGAGACAGCTCATGCACACCTGAATAACAAGGGAGGCTTCTCCCAGTTTTGTACTTATCCAAGATCTGTCACCTCATCTGTCACCTCTGCTCACCTAATTTTCTGTCCTGATAGAGGAATAATCCCTCCCCATCACCTGCTGCCTCTGCCTGCTCCTGCCTTCTTCTGTTAGCATAACTTTTTAACTACTCAGAGTAAGTTTGGGTGTAGCTTTAAGTCCTCAGCAAATTAGCTGTTGCTCGATGAAGACAACACAATTGTCTGTTCCCCATCAAGATGTCAAGTGCTACCAGTGCTCTCCTCAGATAACCTGAATAAGATAATCACTACCATTCTCTCCTTCCTGTTTTCCCCCTGCACTTCTGTATAAATACTAATAGTATTTTATTTGCTAAATTAGCTAACTTATTTTTCAGAGTGTACCTTTCTTTTCCATGGATTGCTGTCCACGAGAGAGATTTGTTGTTGGAATGTTCCCAGCTCTGACCTTGAATACACTGTGGCTCTAACACTACTGAAAACATCAGCTTTCTACTGCCAAATGGAAATCGCTGTCCACTGTCAGATAAGAGATAATGAGTAATAGACAAGCAATAAAAACATTTACGTTTGTTTTTCACTTTTTATGCAAACCCTCTGGTTTTAGCTACCTTGTTAAATCTACTATTATCCTTGAAATTAAAATTTTAATATGTTTGGAACAGTTTGTTCCCGGGAAAGCATGAATGAGGGGGATTAAATTATACCTGTATAGACTTTTCTTGGTGATTGGTAATTACACTGTCACTCACGAGGCTATTCATTGCACTTAGCTGTATGGAACTGGGTAAAAACATGACATTTCCCCCTGTACTGGACATAATGAGAATCTATGGCTTTTCAAGGAATCATTCATCAATAAGGTACAGGAGTAAACAAAACATGGAGAAGATGCATTTGGAACACGTTTTTTTTTTTTCCCCTTCAAGCCACAGTAAAAGATACGTATTTTTGCCCTGGGGAGGTAACAGGGGCCAGGTAACCACCCTCAAAATACAGAGCACACAGGCTCACACCCTTCTGCCTACCCATCCTGACACAGCAAGCCTCTAACCTTGGTGTGGTTACACTGGTGCTTGGGCTGTCTGTGGGGTGAACACGATTTTGGCTTCAGCTTTCCTGCAGTCAAATGCTTTCTCTTCGTTCTTGACAGGGCTCTGTATATTGAAAAGCTGTGGTACAAAAGGTGCTGTCCAAATCCAGTGCTTCTACTAAAAACCAAACCAAACAAAAATGCATCTCTGTGGCAGAGAGCCACACTGAAGGAACAGCATTATGTTCTGAAAAGTTTCAAGTAGGAGACTCAGAAGTTCACATTTCCACGAAACGTCAATTAACTTAATTTGTTGTTGTATCCGACAAAGGACATAGTTAAATGTGGAGAGGACTGAGTGAGTCCACAAAGAATCAAGAGTAACCACTTATGTTCTCAGCAGGCTTGTTTTTGCAACCAAGTTAAAAGTTCTTTGAAACTGGAATGATGCTGCAAAACATCCTGGCCTCAGTGAGCCCTATCTAACTTAGGCACAAAGTTTCTAATGTATGTTGGCCTCAGCCAACATTGCATGAAGTATTTTCTTCCATTTTTAATAAATGTCAGTTGTCCTAAACACAGTACTTTGCAAAGTGTCAGAGCTTTCAACACTGACCTATAACAGGTATGTTTTAAACACTTTGAGGAGTTTATTCTCTTGCCAGGGTCACTGTGACATGTATTAAAAAAAAATAAAAAAAGACATCTCCCTGGTAGCAGTCTCTTTCCTCCCCTTCAATAATGTGCTGTCAATTTAAAACTCTGGAGACTTCTTGCTGCATTATGTAAGCATAAACTTGTTTTTATCGATCGATGCAACATCAGTGCACACGGAACAGGAAGATCAATACAGGGAAGTGCTTACAGTTTCGAAGGAAACAGAAAACTCAGACAACTCAGAGCACGTACTGCAACAAATGTGGTTTTTAACAGCTTTTTAACAGTAAAGTGCCATGGAAAATTCAAGGGCTGCTCATAGCTGATATTCTAGGGGAACACCAATGTAAATTATGCTAGGTTATTTAATATTTTTAGTATTTTTGTATTTAACTACATTTAATAAAGATGAAACAGAACTACTCCACTATTGCTGACAATCCATATTTGTCACATAGATTACTCAAAATCACACTGACAGTCAAACTGCATTTTTACTTACAATGCTTGGCAGGAACATGGGAACACAGACTTTTAAGAAATCAATGCATATTTTCTTCCACTTCGAGGTGGCTGCGGTCAAACTGACACAGTGACTTTTTATGAGAGCAGCAAAGCTTTCACACAGCTGTGAGCCTAGGGAAATATTAAAGCTTCTTTGCCAGATTTGTTTTGTTTGTGTGGCCAGGCTTGGGGAGCAGGGGGGCTGCAGGGCTGGCTTCTGTGAGGGGGACTCACCCTGGAGTGACAGGTCCTGGATCAGTGCACCCTCAACTCCTGCCTGAGACTTCCTGATTCCCCTTCTCCTGCTGGGCTTGCTTACCTTTGCCTCTACACCAACACATTTCAAAGGCTGTTTAAATGTATCCAGCATCCCAGTCAAACCTGGGAGGGTTGGTGCTTTCTCAGAGCTGGCTGTTTTGAACAAGGAGATAGATACTAAAACCCTTTGTCTCAGTAGGAAAGCTCTGACATAGTCTAATGCCTTTCATTACCCACGGAATTGTCAGGGATGCTGCCATGGATTGAAAGATCAGTGCAAGGTCTCATGGAACCTTTGCTGTGGAATGGCTCAGACCCCCTTCTGCAGGGTGCACCTTCAAAGTGTGGGGTGTGGTTTTTGGAACCAATCACTACTGAGATATTTTACCATCAGGCATGATTTTCTTCAAAAATTTAATGAATCTTTACACTCAGTAAAACTTCATGATTTAAAATACCTGCCCTTACACAGAAGTACAAAATGCCTCCCTTATTGTGCCACGACAGCTTTTTCATACACTTCAAATTTGTACTGGATCCCATTTTCTTCCTGGATATCAGCAGGGACACCTGGGTACCTAGGGAGAGAGGAGAAGAAAAAGCCAAAGCCAACAAGCAGGTAAGAATATCATTGTGATTCACCTGTAATTTATCCAATCAACCAGAAAAACAAGTTGCTTGAAAAAAAAAAAAAAAAAGAAAACACTGTCTTCATAACAGGTGCATTGTTTTTAGGAATCTTATTAACTATTATCTATGATTTATATGCACATCTTTTAGATCAAGAAATCATACTCTGACACAAAACAACACCTGTATTTTTGGCTTAATAAAGAAATACCCAATATTTTTATTAAAGCCTCAAATATGTTATTCAAAATGTCTGCCAAGGAAGAAGAGATTATGGAATACTTTGGTTTTTTTCCTCATCTTGCTTTTCCTACCTTGGTTTACAGGAAATGCTGAGGATAAAGCTTTTTAAAAGTCTGCAAGAGATTACTAAAGCAGGTGACTGCTACCATAGAAAGAGCACCTCTATATTCCAGGTTTTCTAAACCACTTCTTATTAATAGACGCTTTCAAAAATCTTTTCATCTTCCCGTGAAAGAACAAGGATTTTGTATGAGTAATACTGACTTTGAGGGAGAGATACATTTTAAATTTATTTGGTAAGGTTTGGCATCGTCAGGTTTCCACTTCTGTGAGGAAATTACCTGTTATTTTACAAAATCATGTTCTAACACCAATGTTCATTTCAGTACATTGGCCAAAAACAACGCATAGCTAGGAGCAGCCAAGAGAGAGAGGGAGCTTTGGGTCAGATCTCAGGACACTGAAATGAGCAGAGAGTAGTTCAGAATGTATTGGAGTTGGAGAAGGTGACTCATCCTCCCCACCCACCTTGTCTGTCCCGCATCCCTCTTCCCTGCCCCTGCCTCTCCTCCCCCAGAGCTGTGCTAATCCACTCCTGTGCGCCCTGGGGAGAGTTTCACCCCTCAGACTTCTATTTCTATTTCTATTGCTGGTCTGTAACCAGCTGAGAGCCAAAACAGGAGCAGCAGGAAGAGCAACAGGTCTGGTCCTCCCTGGTTCTTGAGGCAGGTGTCTGAATTTTTGCTGCCTCCTCAGTGCCTGTTGGATGTAATCTTGTTGGAGAGGACAATAAAAGCACAACTGGAATATGACAAGGATAATGTAGAAGAAACCACAGTGAATGGCAGAAACTGTAAGTTTGTGTACACCTTTTCCTACTACGTTTGTTAGGAAGAAGTATTTTTCTCAAGAGGGAAGGAATAACCTTAGAAATCTATAAAGCTCAAGCATCTCTAGTCAAATCCATTTAATTTGTCTTTGGCAATTTATCAAAGGCAGTCAGAGGCCAAATACTATTTACTAACAACATACTGAGAGTTACAAAGCTTAGTAAATAGTTGAGTAGTTCTAAACTAAGAAACAATAAGAAAAAGCTACTTTTGCAGGAAACTGAAATAGAAAATTTTTTACTGTGAAGATCATACAAAAGTTGAGGAACTGAGCAAGTTCCAAGAAAATCTGTGTAGAGTGTGGTGCCATTCCAGGTTGCAAGCAAAGTATGATTCTGAGGAAAAATTCACCTCAAACACAAACCAACACGGCATTAATAGAACCCCTAAAACATTAAAATTAGATTATTCTGAAGTCAAGCCTGATCTGCATTTTGGTACTTACTCTGTTAGAAGCTTGTAGTCTTTATGGTCAATTTCTGGAAAAAATGTGTCACTTTCAAATTCTTTCAAGATTCTTGTCACAAACAATCGATGATGAATTGGCTTCTCCATTGCTGCCTTTAGAAACAACACAAACTCAAGTCACAATTTTATGTATCACAGGCTTTTAGCAAAGCCGTGAAAATTACACTCTGAATCTCCTCTTTTAGACTCTGCTGAAGAGCACTTTCTAAAGGGATAATTTCACCCTGTGTCAGTTCCACCTGGTAAGTGGCAGCAATACCTATTCTCAGAGCCTGGGGTATCTGACAGAAGTTAAGAACAAAATTTGAATAGCCCTGTGAGAAGAAAGGAACAGCAGGCCCAGTAGCAACAAGCAATTTCTGAATCACACCTCTTTGGGAGACAGGAAGGTTTAAGTGGTAAGAGATGCCCACACCTCACGGTAATTTGCTCTGATGTTTAATATCACTGGTAGGGATTTGTGATGTATATTTTGGAATTCCAGGTAGTTTAACTTCAAAGTTAGATCTCTGGATTTTGGCAAAATAGTAACAACGTGTGGAGAGTTTTTACATTTCCAAGTTCCTTGGGCGAAAATGTTCTAAGATAATGTTTATTAGGTGAGTTTTCCACTAACAAATTCAAGAGCTGGCAATATACATTTTGTCTTGAGATTGAAAAAAAGCAACTCTTCCAGACTTTGTGGGCATTTAAATAACCCGTGAAAAGCTACACTAGGGTTGGTAACAATACATTTTTGAAAAGCTTGTAGCTGTTCCTCCCTTTTGCTTAAACTGGCAGTGAGCAATGCTCTTTGTGGACGGTGACTCACCATGCAGCAGGCTATTAGGTACTACTTCAACAAGCACAGGAACCAAGTAATAACAAATGGAATCCAATAAAATTAATTAGCCACTGCTGAGAGGCTAATTTGTAGAAAAGCTGCTCTACTACAGAACAGTTAGAAATGAAAGAGGTAAGTCACAGCACACAAGCATCGAACAGCACTGAACTGGTGTCCATCCAGTTTGTACACAAATACTAGTATTTCTCTTTTTTTAAGGAAAGAGAGGTAAGAAAAGTCACACTTGCACAATGACAGAAGAATAATAAACCCCTTCACAAATATAAACATGTTGTGTTCTGTAAACAATGACTCTTCTGCTTTGTGGTGGAAGAACAGCTCAACTTCCTATCCAATTCAGCTTTATCAGGAACTCTCTACCACCACAACAGGCCAGGGAAGAGCACAGGAAGGGACTGACCACAGGTGCTGCAAAGAAAGTTGAATTTAACTACAGCGAGACCAGATGGTGACCTCTGTTCTAGGGAAATGGTTTCATTAGCAGCATGAACCAACCAGCTGTGCCACTGTCCCCACATTCATAAATGAAGTGCAAACGCTTCCCCAGTTTGCCAGACCAGCCCCGGAGACCTGTGTGTGTAGGTGGCCCATGACCAGTAAACAGCAAAGAGAAAAGAGCCTGGGGAAGAGAACAGGCTCAGCCTGGTTTCAGGGCACGTACTCCTCCTCAGCTCTAGGAGTGCCCAGTGCCTGGCAGTGAGCACACAAGGGGCAAGGACAAACACACTTTTCCATTTCAGTTGCTCTGTTCTGCTCAGGGTGCCTTTCCCCTGCTCTGGGATTCAAGTTCACAGTTAAATCACCCACAGGCTGCCATCCTGACCTGTGCCCACAGTCCTGCCCCAGCCTAGGCCTGACCTGGTTATGGACACGGGGCCTGCCCCTGCCCCATGGACCTGTCCCTCTGCCCCCAGCCCTGCCATACCAGATACTGCCCTTGGCGTCCAGCCCCTGCTCCCTTGGGAACCTGGTCTGCCCTGCCCTCCCAAGGCAACTTCAGAAAACCTCAGAGAAGTAAACTTTGTATCACACACTAAACCTTCCACAGGTGGAGCCTCCAAGGAAGCCGGTTCAGCGAGGCCTGGACTCTGACACGGCCTCAGTGAAATCCTGCTGAGGACACGGCAGGGTGGAAAAGGAGTTTGGTCATAATGCTGTCATTTCCACAAGGAATAAAGTAGCTCCTTCCTGATATTCAATTCAGTCTTGCCCTGTCCAGCTCACTACATTGGTTTCACCATTTCTTTGGGACTGAAGAGAAATTAGAGGAGGCACAGAGCTGAACTGGTGAAATGCTGACATACTCTACACATCATAAAACCATACCATACACATAAGGAAGCTGACACCTGGGTCTGTTGACTTTTGTGTATTTGTATGTGTGTGTTTTTGTTGGTGGTGGTTTTGTTTGGCTTTTCTAACACCCTATTTAATATTTAAGGATGTGATGGACTTACAGGTCCTGTTCCCAGTAAAACCTCAATGCTGTTTTTGATCTGTCTAAACCACAGAGTTTAAACGCAGTTAAAAGACACTGATACAATTTATACTGAGTGGACTCAGAGTCACCTGGTCTAGTGGACAAGAAGTTTGGAATGACATGAGCCTTTAAGCCCTTTCCAGCCTAAACCCTTCTGTGGATTCTCTGACCCCCCTAGGATGTCCAGAGAGGATTAGTTCTCAGAGCCAAGGCCAAGACCTGAACCCCTCAAGAGACAACACCTCCACAGAGGTGCAGCAGTGTCTTAACTCGGAACATAAACCTGGTTTTGAAACCACTCAACTGTAGAATCACTGAGGTTGGAAAAGACTTCCAAGATCGAGTCCAACTGCTAATGAATCTTCTAACTGTCCCCACTCACCAGGCTTGAGTTGTACGTGGGAGCAGGTTTGATATCCATGAACGAAATCTCCTGGGGATGAAACCGAGCCAGAAACTGTGCACCTGATGAGCTACAAGGGACTCCAGGGCCAGAACCAAGGAGTGAGCCAGCACCACGAGCCCCCCAGAACACAAGAAGCACTCAGATGCCAGCAGACAGCCCTCAAAACATGAAGTGTTCACACAAAATGACAGAGTGCCTGCCATGATGTGTAACAGCCTTGTAACTGCTGTAACCGACTGAACACTGCTGGGCTCCTCCTTCCTCATCCAAAAAACAGCAACCCCAGCTCCTTCTGCAACTCAGGAGATCCACAACAGGGAAGAGAGGATCCAGATGGCACTGCACTAAGATCCAAGCAAGTTAACCTGGTAAACCTGTGCTGTCAGAAGTCCAAAAGCTTCCCTGGGTGCATCACTACCGCCCTGAGCTACATCAGGAGACAATAAACCTGATGAGGGGGATCAGTGTCCAGTCAAATTCAAGAAGATGACACCTACACGAGCTTTTCTGCACCCTCAGTGAACTGATGGAGCTGTTTTCAATCTTTCCTGCTCTCACGTGCCAATACCACCTCCCCACCCAGCTTCTCCCTGTCCTCACTGCTCCCCCTTTCCCTGCTGCAGAGCTCACAGTTTCCTGGAGTGTGTGAGCACAGCATCAGCGTCACCTACACGAGGACTTGCATGGCTACCACAGATCACAGAGGGCCTGAGGCAGATGATGCCAATTCTCCCAGCCCCTGGAGAGAACTGTGCCCTCCAGAACCGAGGGCAGTGGGAGAGACGACCATAACCAACAGAGGGATGCTCTGTGTCCTTACAAATGTTCACAGGTTTGGCCCTCTGTCTTCTGCAGCCTGAGGAGGAAAAGGATGTGAACAGCAGCAATCCCCTGCCTCCATCCCACTCCTGTCCCAAAATGCCATCCTGGAGCTCATGCTGCAGCACTTTGGCTTGCCTCAGTCCGTGAAGGCTGGTCAGGGCACTGCAGCCCCGTGTAGCTGAGGCTGACTGGGCACTCAGATAGCTGGGCAGCTGCTGCACCTTGGCACAGCTCCCCGCACAAGGGCAAGGCTGGCTGGTGCTTCAGCAAGGTGGCTGGGCCAGGCAAAAGGCACAGCAGGGCAGTGCTCAGACCTCCTGAACAGCCCAGGGCACTCAGCAGGCTGTGGGAAACAAAAACCAGCAAAGCCCTGGAAGGTCATGTCACACCCCTTGCCACACATCTACAGAAACACAGCTGGCAGGATTGTCCCCAGAGCTTGGTGAGAGCTGCTGATGGTGCACCTCCCCAAACCACACGGATTAACTGATCACAGGGTGCTAAGGTTAGGAGCTGAGTTAGAAGACTCCACAGGACAATAAGCCACCATCTCAAATAACAGTGTGGACCCTGAAAGGGTTGTCAGGCAATGGCAAAGCTGCTGCTGCAGTTTCTGCCAGATGCCCTCAGTAGTGCACCCTCACTTCAGTACATTCTGCATCTGCTTCCCACCCCAGAATCCCGCTCCAATGCAATGTCAGACTGAGCTGACTGTGCCAAGGACCACAGACCCACCTGGGCAGAGCAGCTGCAGTGCTGTCCTGAGAATCCCCACAGCTTCTACTCCTCCTGACACCCACAGCAGCTCCTGACAGGCTGTCAGAGCAGCCCCACTAAGTGCCATTGTTGCCTGTGGTTCCACCCTGTAGTGACCCTGATGGAAAACCACCGTGCCTCAGGGAGTTGGCAACCCACAGAACAATTACCCTGCACACACCATGCTCCCTGCCCACAGGATGACAGGGTCAGACAAAAAGCCACAACAGAGAAGCTGGGGGCAGATCCCACTGGGAACCTGCAAACTTGCCACCTGCAACTGCCACTGCTTCTCTTCATCTGAAAGGGCAGCAAGAAACTCTTATGTGAACATCCTTTCTGTTTGACAGCAGAAAGCACAAATAGACTTGGTTTTCTGCAAGAGAGTCCTTTAACAGCCTGAATAATCAAAATGGGGTAGGTCATTCCATAGACAAGCACAGACCTGTATTAATGAACAAAATCAGTTCTCAACCTTAGAGCCACACAAACTAGTGAGATCAAAATAATGCTTTAAAACCAAATACCTACAAACTATTGAATGACATCATTCACTTCAGATACCAATTGCTATTTCACTCCTACACATTTCTGCATGGTATAATGGAAATATTCCTGTAAAATCCTTTGCAAATCTTTAATGAAGACACTAAAAGTATGACTTACAGTTTCGGTAGATGTGTATGGTCCCCATAAAACCTTTTCAGTTAACATCACAAAGGTAGCTTGAGCACAGGAATCTGTATAAAACTGTCCCTGGCCTTGGGCACTGCCAGGGATCCAGGGGCAGCCACAGCTGCTCTGGGCACCCTGTGCCAGCCCTGCCCACCCTGCCAGGGAACAATTCCCAATTCCCAAGATCCCATCCAGCCCTGCCCTCTGGCACTGGGAGCCATTCCCTGTGTGCTGTCCCTCCAGCCTTGGCAATTGTCTCTCTCTCCAGCTCTCCTGGAGTCCCTTTAGGTCTTGCAGGGGGCTCTGAGCTCTCCCTGGAGCTTCCTCTTGTCCACACTGGACATTCCCATCTCTCTCTCTCTCAATGCTTTTCCACGTCCAGGGTAAACAAGTCTCCTATTATTTTACACATTCTCTTGTACTGATCAGTACAAATAATACATTCCAATTTATTCTTGATCAAAACTGCAAACTTATAACATGAGTATTGGTGAGTAATGGTCTAAAAAAAAGGCATTATTTTCTTCCAAAGATCAGCCAGACGCTGGAAAAATAGTTAAAATAGAAGCCTCCAAGACAGATGTTTCTAACTACTTCTCTGTTTTTACCAAAAAAAATGCGTCTCCTCAAACACAGAGAAGAGGTTCACGAAAAGCACGAAGTGTAAAGGCAAGAAATAGCAGAAAAAGGCATTTTCCTGGCCTGCACACAGGGCACAGCATCAGCCCTAATTTCCCACCAGGTGCATTATGGCACTGTCACCACACATCTCGAGTCCGAGGGCTGCACAACAACTGGAGTGTTGTAATGACTAAAGGACAGCAGCACTGCTTCTTTTACTGTTAAAAAGAATTTGCTTTACAATTCTTGACCCAGGGAGTGGGAGCAGTAGGAACACTGCTGGATGGGAAAGCAGAGTGTGTGCGACCTTTTGTTGCATGATTATCTCCTGTTATTGCTGACATCATGACCTGTCAGCTCTCTCTAAATCCTATTTCCTACCCCATTTACATCTATAGTGTCATACTCTGGCTAAAAAAGCTGGAGCACTTTTCCCTTTTTTTCTTTTCACATCCTTTGCAAGGTCAGTCAGCAATTTCAGTAAAATAAACATAACAACGTGGGCTCAGTAAAATAAACATAACAATATGGGCTTTGTCTGAAGAACCCAGCAATTTAGGTATTTATGAAAAGCTCTCAAAAGTACAACAGTGTGACACTGGCCCGTTGGCAAGAGCAATGTTCAGTTTCTGGATGGGTGTTCTGAACTTGAGAGCTGAGATCCTACTCTCTGAGACCTGTTCTGCTGCAATCACTGCAGTTTGCTGGGGATGTGAAGGGAAAGCACCTCCTAAAGCAGCAGTAATAGGAACCTCATCCTCCTGCCATCACAGAAAATGAGTGATTTAGGAGGAGGCTAAATGTACCTTGTACACTGAAGTGCCTCCCACGATCCAAACCATGTCTACTTTACTTTTTAACTCTGGTGAATCCAAAAGAGCTAAAGCATCATCCAGACTTTTGGAAAGATAATGTGCTCCTTTCGGGGTTTCCCTAGAAAAAGCAAAGTTCTATTACTAAATAAAGAAAGGATCACCAATACAAGCTAGACACAAAATGTGCTTTGCTGAATTAACAAACAACTACATGTTTCACGTTAGTTAATTATTTTGAAGTGCCTGTAATTGTCAAATTATGTTAGAAGTCTCATCTCACTGTAGGATTGTTCAACAAATCACAGCTTAATCATAATTTAGGAAGCATTACAAATTAAAAATCAGGAATTTCACAGCATGTTTTTGAAAAAGTGTAACTGAGAAATTGACACATCAATAAGATAAATACATAATCTATAAATTGAACATATATCATTAAATACAGAGATAGTCAAGAAATTGAATGTAGATTTTGACTTGCATTCCAGGATGTTAGTATTTCATTCAATACAACCGGCTGAAAAGCCACTATTCCCTGTCCACCCACATATTCTCCTGCAAATCCACCACCATCCTCCAAAGCAATAAAGCACTACAAGTGGACATTCGTATTTAAAAATATTTGTGTGACTGTGGGTGATGCATTCAAGAGAATTCTGAAAAAGGACAGTTCATCCACAAATCCTAATGAAAACAAACTTCAAAAAAATGGATTAAGGGCCACCAATCTAAGCAAGAACTAGAGAAGCACAGTTAAACACATTAGTCAGAAGCACTATTGAAAATTGTCAAATGGTCTGTGAGTAGAGCTGGAAGTAGTACTCATGCTGCAAGGTAATGACAATTACCTTGTGAATGAATTGTTAAAAGAATTAAAAATTAAGAGTAAAGTAGTTATAACACTTAGAACCAACAGCAGAAAGGCTTTCTAGCCAGGTATCAGAAATGCTACATTTGGAACTACTGCGTGTTGTAGTGCTACAGACATTTTTTGGTGCAGGCTTTTATTTGTTTGACAGGGCCCTTATTTACCATACTTACTTGAGCTCCCTGCTGAGCACGATATTAATTCTGTCTTTTAAAGGACGGTTCTTCTCAGGGATGGAGAACCACGTTTTTTTACCCATTATCAGTGCATTCTGTTTACCTGAGCAGGAGAGAATTGATTTTAATTGTTTAGAGACACTGATGGACTTCCCCTGCCCTTCCAAGCCCCTCTCTAGCAGTCAGCAAAAGCACAAGCTCAGGCCCCAGCTCTCAAATGAGTCACACACAGATTTATAAACCCACAATAATTTCTAGGAGAAGAACCAGCCAAGTTAAATCTAAAGCTAAAGTGCTACAGGTGATCAATCATACTCTAACATTCACACATAAATATAATTTCTGACCAAACCCAAGCATTCATAACCTGATCACCTCTCCTATGTAAATCTAGTCAAAGGAATGTTTCTCTTTGTGAGGAAAAATCAGGAAAAACCACATTGCCAACATGGTCACTCTTTCCACGTAGTAGCCAGGCTGAGACACACCAGAGGCAATGCTGGCATCCCTGGTGTGAAGATTTATGGCAGCATAATCCATTAAAAAGTCTGGTTATGAAGCACTTTACCTGCCTAGCATCCAAGACCACAGCTTATCAAAAGATCTGCAGGCAGGATAGAGCAAAATGTTTCTTTGTAATTATATTCCAAACATATTTTTCTTGATCACAGGTTATTTGTGCCAGGTAAGATGCAACTTGCAGACATCTAAAAAGACTTACAACTGTCAGTTGTGTTCTGTCCTTTTTTTGTACATATAGGGCTGCAAGGGGCTGAACCAGGTCTCCAAAACATGTTTTATGTTTGAAACAGTTTACAACTGATTCAAAATGAGATTAGACATTCCTTGTGGAATATGGAACAGATATTCAAATCAGAAAGCTGAGCAAGTCACCTAATCAAAACAGACCTTCAAGGCAGAAATTGGAGTAAGGCACATAGTCAAAGCACGGGAATATATCAGGCTGACCAGAAGGGAGTTTTTACCAAACGAGTTTAACAGCGTAAAAAAAACCCTAAACAAACCATGAAAAAGTGACCGTGTTGACCAACAACTACAGTATTCCTGCTCCATGCTATCAGCATGGTTTGGATTTCCTGGTGCATGGATTTCAGAAAACTCAGCAAAATTACTGTCACAAGGGTCAGAGGGGTGGATCGAATGGCCAAGGCTGAGCTACAGCAAACAAGTTAGATAAACTAACGCAGGTTGAAAAAAAAACCCAACACCTTTGTAATTAGGCAGCTTGTGAAAACCTTCCCATTTTAACTCGGAGTTTCGCGTAAAGGCCTGTTAGGTAAACTTTAGATTAAGTTGTCTATTCTTCTGGTGAAAGAAAGCCTTGAAAATTGTTTCCTAAGAGATCGCCTGCATCGCCTCTGAAATATCTGATTCAGTTGCTTTCCTCCTCTAACCCGAGCACAAAGGGCTGAAATGCTGGTGTGACTGGTGAGGGCAGTGTGCAGGCTGAGGCAGGGAAATGCAGAAATCCCCAATTTTGGGTGTCCGGTGCCACACGGCCCTCACGTTACCTTCCACGCGGGACGTGCTCGTCATTCTCTGGAAGTACTTGTACTCATTCCTGCCGGGGAAGCACCAACTGCGTTACAACGTGTCTTAAGAATAATTTATCTACTTTCTATTTTTTTTCTGCAAGTTCTCTAATTTCAACAAAAAAAACAAACAAACAAACAAAAAAACCAACAAAAAAACCAACAAAAAAACCCCCACTTGTGATGGGAGCGTTGCCGGAGGCCGGGGAGGGGCGGTTGGACGGGGCTGGACGGGTGCCATGGCCGAGGCGAAACCTTTGACCCCTAGCTGTGCTTACATGAGGGCTTAACCTGCGGCCACGGCATAAGAGAGAACCCACCCAAAAAACAACCCCACAGCTCCGCTCCCGCCACGCCGCCGCTTTCCCGCCTCACACAGCATCCCCCCAGGCACTACAGCTCCCAGCGTGCCCCGCGCCGCGCGGCAGCGGGTTGGCGCGGTGGGGCGGCGCGGGGCACGCTGGGAGCTGTAGTGCAGGCGGGCGGGGAGAGGAGGACGCGGCGGCGCTAGGCCGCAGTACCTGAGCGGCGGCCAGGGCAGCCGGCCGTCCTTGCCGATGCCCATGTTCTGGCTGACGGCCACGATGGAGTTGAGCGAGCGCACCATGGCCGCTCCGCTTTCCCCGCGCCGCGCCGGAGCCGTGCCGGGGCGGGGCGGGTCGGGGCGGGCCGAGCGGGCGCATCCGGCGGGAGGCGGTGCCGCGGCGCGGGGCCCGGCCATGCCGCGGGGCCCGGGCACGCCGCGGGGCCGGCGGGGCGGCGGGGCCGGCCAGCAGCCGGTGCTCAGCAGGTTCTTCGGGCCGGCGGCGAGCGGCGGCGAGCGCGGCCCCCGGAACACGGTGCGCGGGGCGGGGCGGGACGGGCAAGGCCCGCAGGCCCGGGATCTGTCCCGGGGTCTGTCTCGGTGTCCCTGTGCGGGACACGGCCCCAGGGCTCGGCTGTGTGGCACAGTGCTCTGGTACCCAGGTACTCGGGGAGCACCCTGGCAGGAAGGATACGGAGCTGCTGGGCAGGATGCAGGGGAGGCCACAGAGATGGCTGGGCTCTGCAGCATCTCTGTGCTGGGCACAGCCTGCGGGAGCTGGGCTGGGCTGGAGGAGGGAAGGGGAGAGGGGATCCCATCCATCCATCCATCCATCCATCCATCCAAACATCTCCAGGGCTGCCAGAGGATGGGGCCGGGCTCTGCTCAGTGCTGCCAGTGGCAGCAGGAGCAGCAATGGCCATCAGAGAAAGGGCAGGCAGTGCAGCCCAGCAGGAGGAAGAACTTGTGTGCACGGAGGGGCAGAGCCCTGGAACAGCTGCCCAGGGAGGGCCTGGAGTGTCCCTGTGTGGAGCCATGGCAGCCCAGCTGGACACGTTCCTGTGCCACTGCTGCAGGGGAGCCTGCCTGGGCAGGGGCATGGAGCACAGCATCCCCACAGCTCCCTCTCAAACACAAATATCCTGGCGTTCTGTGATGTAGGATGTGCCTGTTCTGGAGGAGCTGGAGCTTGGCACAGGTTTGGTGAGCTGGGCAAGGCCTGCATGTTGGTCCATGTCACTGCGGCTGCACTCCAGTGTTGAACCACCTGTTCTGGTTTTGCAAAATGTGGGGTATCTTAAGATTATCATAAGTCAGGATATTCTCTGAGGTTTGAAGCCTGATCAGCAAGAAGTGAGGGCTGATCAATGGGACACGCAGCAGCTGCATCCCTTAGTCAAGGGTGCCCAAATTAGCAAGTTTTAAGGATGTAAATCAGGACGTTGGTGTACGTCCATGCCATGTATGCCTTTCAGAGCTGTGCAGATGCTCAGGATCCATTTGTCCTGCTCTGAGCCCCGTTGGTGGCAGTGTCCCAGCTCAGCCCGAGCCGGCCCAGGCACAGCCCCCGGGCCGGGCAGAGCCCCCGGGCAGGGCAGAGCCCCCGGGCAGGGCAGAGCCCCGGGCAGGGCAGAGCCCCCGGGCAGGGCACAGCCCCCGGGCAGGGCAGAGCCCCGGGCAGGGCTCCCAGAGCTGCAGGGCAATCCCTGAGCGCTGAACACAGGGACCAGCTCTGCCTTTGTGCACAGAGTGAAAATCATGGCAGGGAAAGGGCAGCGGGGTGTGCCGAGCACCCCGAGCACCCAGACCTGCCCAGCCTGGTGGGCACCCAGGGTCTCTCTGCAGGGTGTCACTGTGGCCCTGGGGCACACTGAGGAATGAGTCCCATTTTTGGGCAGCTCTGGCAGGCACTGAGCTATGCTCCTGTCCCAGGTGCTGGAGCCCAAGTGACTGGAGCTCTGAGTGTGGTAGTGCAAGGCCAAAAGAGCCTGCAGTGGTGCAGATCCTCCCTGTGCCACCGCTGGGAAGAAGTGGCTGTGTCTCAGCAGAGTTCATTCTCAGTTTGTATTTACCAGTCTCCCTGTAGTTACTGTTCCCAGCCCCTTCGGACCCTGGAAGGGCGTTTGCTTTTTCTGCCTGTGACTCAAGTCAGCTATTTTGATTGCCTTTGGTCCAAATGTATTTTGAAAGGTGTGATTACAACTTTCTGCCGTTGTAGAAAATACTTCCTACTTAGTCTTAATTTGGTGGTATTTAACAGTGGTCTTGAAAACTGCTACTCATGTGGGCTGTGCTTATGTGGTGGTTTTGGGTTTGGTTGGAGAGGCTGGAGTTCCTGTTTGGTTTTAAAGAAATTGAAATTCCCTGGTAAAACCAGCTGAGGTTCTGATATGAAATGTGGATGCAAACTGCTGAAAGCACCTGAAGCTGTGTGCTTCTGTGCAAACTGTTTATGTTTTGTTGGACTTACAAGCTCCTCTTCATATCTAGTCAAGCTTCTTGCAGAAGATCAGTGATGAAAAAATGATGAATTTTCTGTTTACATAGTGTTCAAACTGCATGTTTCAAAAGACAGCTAAGGAGCAGGATGCTCCAAGCTCCTCCAACCTGGTCTTGAACAATACCAGGGATGGGAGGTTGGATTATTTTGCATTAACTTCTTATGAAGTTGGTGGTTGCATTCTTATGTTTCAGAGAACAGCAAACAGAAAAGGTAACTGAACTTATTGGTTTAATTTACATTTCAGGGTTCTGAATTTGGCACCAAAAGGAGCACATCTGCTGAAAGCAATGAACCCTGTGAAAAGAAGGCCAAGGCACGACAGATCACTCTGGAAGAGATCTGTAACCCACCAAGGACTCATGAAAAAAGTGAGTTGACTGTTAGCAAACTTTCAAGCACTGGCAGCCAGTAAATAAGTTTTTCATTGTCAGCTTGCCTCAGAAATGCGTTGAGTTCCATCTGGCTTTGAACAGAGAATTTAATAAGTTAATGCTGCTATAAAAACCAGTGGGGGATATAAAGTTCATTAAATTTCAATAGAAGGAATTAGCCTCTTCAGTTTCAAAGTGGGAAGGATACTCCATTTGTTGGTGTGATGCTTTGGAGTTTCACTAGGACACCCTCACGATATTGCCTGCTTTAAAAAATGTACTAAAAGAAAATCTGCTTGATTCCCAGTATTCTTAGCTAACTTTATGGCTGTGCAGTTGTCAGTCCAAAAGGTAATGATGCATCTCTTCCCACACAGAAAGAAGCACACAAGTGAGGAATACTGGTTTTCCAGGGAAGTTAACCAAGCTGTTTAAGTGCATGATTCTGTCAGGCTGGCAGAAACACTGCAGTGGGAGAGGAGAGGGAACATAGGGAAGAGAGACATGGAGCAAAATGGTTGTGTTCTCTGCTTACTGATGCTCTTCTAACATACATTCTCTTTTAGAAAATAAGCTGCTAACTTGTTTTTATTGTGGATTTTCACTGCAGAAGAACCTCAGAAGTGTGAAAAGCCCCGTGTCTGTTTGCAAACTCTGGACAGGCTGAGAGAATTCTGCAGTGATTCAAACCAGCAGTGTACCAGAGCCCGGGAGGATGGCTTTCAGGAGAAGGAATCTCTGAGTTTGGAGAAATGTCCCACTGTTACTGGGAGGAGCTCAGAATTGAAAAATCCATCTTGGGACCCTGGCCCAAAGGTCACACAGAAGGTATGCAGAGCTTTGGCCCTGTTGTGTGTGGAGGTTGCTTGTTAGGAATTAAAGCAGCAGGCTTTGGCACAAGGTTCCTTTTGTGCTGCTGTGCTCTGATGTGGGATGGTGCAGCAGAATCCCACAGACCTGTGTTTGTGTGCAGATGTTTCCCTGAAGCTCCTGCCATGGTGAGCAGGGTAGCTCTTCTGGCTCCTCAGTGATACCGTTGGACATCAGCCCTGTCAGTGTCCCTTGTGCCTGTGAGGGAAGCTGTAACACCCTAAAACACATGTTCAGAGTGCCACTTCGCTCAGCTTGCTTTCAGTTCCACCAGCTTTGACGTGGACTCTCAAACTTCTAACAGGCTTTCTTTGCAAAAATAGTGTGTAGGGTTGTCACTGAGATGTGGCTTAATCTAATTCCTGGTAAATCTAACTAGTAAAGGTATCACTGCTTTTTCATCTGCAGAAGATAGAAGTAGCTCACATGAAAAATTGTAATTGTGATTTGTATGGTGCAAGTCAAGGGCCTTGAATGGGGCAATAGTGTTTTGCTTCCCCATTACTTATAGGGCCAGGTAACATTAGTTGGTTGGGGGGTTTGGGGGTCAGCCTGCTCATATTTTGGGTGTGTTCAGGTCCTAGAATGCATCCCATGGCTTGCTGTGTAGCTGCTCTTTGATGGAGTTCTACACCTGGCTTTTTGAGGGAAGGAGCCTGTATGAAAAGCTGATTTTACCCTTCCCTGCCTGAGGCCTGTCACCTTCTCCTGGGGGTGCCTGCTTTGTGTGAATGTGGGGCCCGGATGCTGGAGGGAGCTGCTTGTGG